CTTGCACAGAGTTTATTTCATTTTTTAATTGTGGTTACTATGTATATTCTCTTAATTTTACATAACATGTCCACGTCCACTCATGTTTCTCCATTCTGTGCATTTCTTGCTGTGCGTTACGTCGCTCGTTGCAGAAATCGCTCAGTGTGCCCTTCCAGTAATGTCAATGTAAAGGGACGAAGACATGAAGCGAATCAATATATCTTTCATTCGTCGTATATTTTTCCAGCTTAATGTTCCTTATTCTTGCGTTGTTTGCCACGCTGCAGAACAATAAAACTTGTGCTCGCTGTAACTGCCCACACTACATTTCTCATTATGCTGCTTTAGGTTTATGACCATTATCTTTTTATTTATAAGCTTAAGTTACATGACGACTATTTTAGTAGGCCTTTCAAAGGCTGTGATTGACCTGCACGTTTGCTTGTGTTGCACTTTCTCATTAGACAACACTTTGGAGTGCCTTCGGCAGTTAGGGCATAGTAAAGATATGTATCGATATATTGTACACTCGCATACAAGCGAAGTTCCCTGAATGAGCCGAGTATTCCGTCGCGCGCACGCTTTTGTGTGTGTGTGCGTGTGTGTGTGTGTGTGTGTGCGCGTGTGCGTGTGCACACACACACAGATTAGATGTTAGCGAAACATGCAAAGGTTCAATAGAAATGTTAGAGTCTGGGTTGAGTGTATCTTAGTACACGGTCGAAGAGTCACGATGTAATATGCTTGAACGTGACCTATCAGACCTTGGAACTGTGCCTGGCTTTTACCCATAAAACAAACCTCTGCCTAATGAAAATTGTCATATGATAGACTCCGGCGACATCTGTTCCGGCAGGTACAAGTATGACCACCGCTGCAGCATTATTTCCGTCGCTGAGCCAACTGAAGACGCTTGTGGCCAAAATTCCTGCCCAGAATCTCACAGAGTGTCAAAGGCTTGACAAACACTATGGCATGTTTTTCCGTATGCAGATATTATTCACTATAAAAGCGCCTAGGAAGTATTTGTGATAGCAGCACCACTTAGTTTGTACATCATGTCAGCGCGAAGCGACGAAAAAAAAAGGGTAAGTGGCAGAAATTTGAACTCCCTCCCGCCCCCTCCTTGGCAACGCCACTGCTGATCAAAATATGATGCTTCGGCTGTAGAGATACGGAATGTAGGTACTCATTAAACACGTAAGCTATGTCACTATGTTCAGTTATAAGTATATCTGCTTTTTATTTTGTCTATTTGTTTAGATTTCGAGCTGAGAGAGCGCCAGAACGTCTGAGGATTAGTTTTAAAGCTTGGCAAAGTAGTCTCAGAATATTTCTTGTTTTTTTTTCTCGCGCAAGACAGCGCACATTGTAATTCTTCGCGAGGTTGACGTAGCGGTTCATTATTGGCGAATTTTTTTTTCTTTGCTCGTGTAATCTTCTTCGTTTAATGTTCGCATTTGTTGTCTTTCACCAGTTTTTACAACCAGGGAAATTTGATTGAACTGTAAAGAACTCGTCTTTTGTTTACTTGTCTTTTTTAGCACTTATCTTGTGAATCGTGGGAAGAGCGGAAAGAAGTGTGTTTGGCCTTCGCCACTTGCTCAGCTATATCACACGTTGAATCGCGCTGGGCTAGCGTTCACGTATCAATACTGGAAAGATAAGAATTAGGTGGCGTGCAGCGAACGGAAGCCGCAGTAGGCCTCGCCGCAGGTCAACCATGCATTAGACGAAGAGGGCTAAATCGGAGCGTTACATGTATGTCTTGCGCGGCTCTGTGGTGTGTCAACCCAGGGATTTCCAGGTCTGCGAAAGTTTCCGTGGTTTCCCAGTGACAACGGGTGAGCACAAGTTCGTTATTTGAGCAGGTATTATTTCTGCATGAGTGCACGATTACGCCCAGTTGCCTGCAAGCCTTACTGGACAGACATGAGTGCAGTGTCATTAGACCGATTTGAGATGACGAGAGCATACACACTGATGCCTCATTTCATAAAAGGCTTAAATGCGTGTAAGCTCTTCTACAGAGTTTGTTCTTCCTTTTGGCGTGTATTTCGAACAGTGTGAAGATTCTAGGTTCTTTCATTTTCATGGAAATGGATGTAGCCGGTTGGGAAATTTGTGGCACTTTCCTTTTAATACTGTCTCTACACGTAGTGGACTCACTGATGCTTTGAGAAATCGCTGAATAGGGAATGTTGCTGGAGACAACGTTTTAAAAGAGGACATTGCATCCTCGAGGCGAAAGCAACTGAACTAGATTACCTAGTAGCATTCGCTGTTTTCAAGGCCCCGCCGTGGTGGCTAAGGTACTCGGCTGCTGACCCGCAGGTAGCGGGATCGAATCCCAGCTGCAGCGGCTGCATTTTTGATGGAGGCGAAAATTCTGAAGGCCCGTGTGCTCAGATTTGGTTGTATGTTAAAGAAACCCAGGTGGTCGGAATTTCCAGAGCCCTCCACTACGGCGTTTCACATAATCATATGGTGGTTTTGGGACGTTAAATCCAACACATCAATCAATTATCGCTGTTTTCAACTGTTTTTCATCGCTTCACGCCTCTATTTTCTCCGGAACTTCGGTTTGGTACTTAGTATTCTTGTTTGGTACTTAATATCGGAATTAAAATATGTGCGTTCGCTGTCATCCATGCGTGGCCTGCTTGTGATTGTTAATAATTATCGCATGGATTCAAATATTCTTGGATAATTGGTTGCTAATTAGTCTATTGGTAAGTAGAGCTGCTTTTTCAGATTGGACCGTTCTGGATTCTATTGTTTTTCCCTGCAAGGGGTCTTGGGAAGACGTGGACTTGAAAAACACTAGTGCCGAAACGCTTGACGCATGCTTCCATAAACATGGCTTCCATAAACATGGCTTCCATAAACATCACACTACCTTGAATCTGTAAATAATCTAAATATACGATTTTGTTAACCGCACCACCTCCTCTCCTCGACATCTCCCCGAGACTCTGGCTGGCTCCGGTCTTATAGGCAGACTCCCGACTACATCAGCCCTCGATTCTATCAACGTGGTGCCCCTTCCGAAAAACATTTCTCCTTGCGCCCCAGCCGTCCATGACTCATGCTCACAGGGCTCCTTGCTTATAGATTACATCTGTAGAATTAATGGACCCATAGGCACTGTTACTTCTTGTCAATCTTGTTTAGATCTACAGCTGGCCCCGCCGCGGTGGTCTAGTGGCTAAGGTACTCGGCTGCTGACCCACAGGGCGCGGGTTCGAATCCCGGCTGCGGCGGCTGCATTTCCGATGGAGGCGGAAATGTTGTAGGCCCGTGTGCTCAGATTTGGGTGCACGTTAAAGAACCTCAGGTGGTCTAAATTTCCGGAGCCCTCCACTACGGCGTCTCTCTTAATCATATAGTGGTTTTGGGACGTTAAACCCCAACTATCAATCAATCAGATCTACAGCTGAAAAAAGCGGTCAGCTTGACCACCTGGGGTTCTTTAACGTGCACCCGAATCTGAGCTCATGGGCCTACAACATTTCCACCTCCATCGGAAATGCAGCCGCCGCAGAAGGGAATCGATCCCGTGACCTGCGGGTCAGCAGCCAAGTACCTTAGCCACTAGAACTCCGCGGCGGGGCCAATTCGGCATGTGTGGAGCTAGCAAAACGTCCGCGAGCGCATCATGAAGGGCACAATACACTCTAATGTAGCGTTGACACGCTTGCTGGCCACAGCGACGCTACGTTAGCAAAACGCGAACACTCTATAATCTGACGCCAGGTGCGACCGGCGCGACCAGTGTCCGTGGGCGCGGCCCGACGGCAAATGGCGCGAAATGCGACATGCTGCATTTCGTGCCGATGCATTACCCAGACAACACTGCGTCTTATCGTGATGGAGGGACGCCGGACGCGCTGAAACGCGCATGCGTTAAAGCAACGTAGCGCGGCGCGCGCCTGCGAGTATATGGCAGGAGTGGCGCCTCCACGGCGCGGCAACGCCGGCGGGACGCAACGAAATGAACGCCGCGAGCACGCGCACCGCTTCACGTCGAAACGCATTGGCGCCTTCACTATGGCATGGAGTCATGTTCTCACATGACACGCATCTCATGATTATCATGTTTGCACCAGTCGCATACCGTCGTCCTTCATTGGCGTCGCGTAATACCAAATTTGGCACATGTGAAGCTACCGAAACGTCCACGAGCGCATCATAAGTGGCATGTAGTCATGTTGTTACATGACACGCATGTCATGACTATAATGTTTGGATGTGTCATTTACTTATGTCGTCCGTTCGCGTCGCGTAATACCGAGTTTGATACATGCGAAGCTAGCGAAATGGCTGCGAGCGGATCATGAGCGTAGCATGTAGTCATGTTCTTACATGACACGCATCTCATGGTTATAGTGTTTGCACAAGTATCATACCTTCGTCATCCATTCACGTCCCGTAATACCAAATTTGATATATGTGACGCTAGCGAAACGGCCGCGAGCGCTTCATGAGCGTGCATGTAGTCATCTTGTTACATGACACGCATGTCATGATTTTTATGTTAGGGTCTGTCGCTTATGTTCGCCATGCAATCGTGTCATACCATACCAGTTTTGCAACATGGCATGTGAACGAAACCGCCGCAAGAGCTGCAGGACCATGAAATGTAAATCATGACATACATGTCATGAATTTCATGTTACGACTAGTCAAATACGTTCTTCATGCAGTCGTGTTACGCCATACCAAGTTTAGTATCAATACTGTAATCGAAACGGCCAGGAGACTTAAAAGTCGTAGGTGGCTAGATAGATAGATAGATAGATAGATAGCTAGATAGATAGATAGATAGATAGATAGATAGATAGATAGATAGATAGATAGATAGATAGATAGATAGATAGATAGATAGATAGATAGATATATAGATAGATAGATAGATAGATAGATAGATAGATAGATAGATAGATAGATAGATAGATAGATAGATAGATAGATAGATAGATAGACAGATAGATAGATAGATAGATAGGCCAGCCTACCTCTATGCTATGCAGCCAGCGCTGTGGTGGCACATACTTATATTCTCCGTACACAGGCCACAGCGGACGATGTCCTTCGCTGCGGAGAAGAGTGAGAGCGAAAAAAAACAACGTTATCAATATAAGCTGCACTGTTCTGTTTTACCTTTTGGTATAGCATAACTCATGCAAAGAGATGCACGCTTAACTGGGTCGGTATAGCATCACTGTATATTATCCTCTTGTTCATACAGTAATGATGAGGCTGTAGAAACAAAAGAAAAATAAATTACTCATTATTGTCACGCTCATGCAGATGATATGATGGCATCAATAGATTGTCCAAAATTTTGCTGGCCATACATAATTTAGTTATTTCTCATGTAATTTAATTGTTAATCGGGATCGACCCTTTTTTCGTACGTGATCGCCATCGAAAAACAGCTACCTGTTTCGGCTGCTTGAAAACCTTGGTCGGTTCGTTCCAACACCACCTAGATAAGTTCAGGCATTTAGGTGGTGTTGTTCGTTCTGAGCTGGTTCGCCCACCAAGTAATCTTCTTTCTCTTTTTCTTCTTACTACATTGTTTTATGTTGAACTCTCGTCATACAGCCTCGCGAAAAAAAAAATATGTGATCTCATCTGATGAATGCATAAGCTTGGTTTGAACAGTCTCACCGACATTATTTCGCCATCATCTCATTACTACCGGTTCATGCATCACTCCTCACAGATCAGGTTCGAGGTTTCGTTCGCGTTCAACTCTGCGCTGTCAGTTTCGTACCTTTTTTGCGACGTAACCTTTCAAACGTTCCCGGTTATCACTACCAATCCACACCCCGCATCGTCACAAAGGACGCAAGAGCTGCATCTGATATATGGTCGTCATATTCCCATGTTATTTTTTGCATGCATATTGTTCACTAATACAACGAGCTCGATCCTTCGCGGCCTGCATTGCTCTGCCATTACAGCTGACAATGGCTTTGGCAGACTGTCATTTTGATGAAATTATTATTATTATTATTATTATTATTATTATTATTATTATTATTATTATTATTATTATTATTATTATTATTATTATTATTATTATTATTATTATATTAGGACAATATGTGAGGCATGAACTTTGCAACAAAAATCAGGCGTATTCACAATCGCCTAAAGTGAGTGCGGAAAAACGCAGTATACTTACACGATATCCTTTTTTCACCCGGCGGCACTTGTATAAAGAGCGGTACCAACCCTTTCAAAAAAGGGTCTCATTGTAAGTACTGCAATTTCGAAACGGCAATTCAAACACAACACATAATTATAGTGACGAGAGGAGGGTGAGGAGGGAAAGACGCTACATCTGCTTCTTGCAACTACAGCGGAACACTGATTACACGACTCTCAGGGGACTACGCAAAAGCGTCGTATAATCTGGGCGTCGTTTAGTTTAAACAAACTAAAATTGTAGGCAGTAACACTCAGCCTTGCCCCAAAAATCACAGTATATCTACGTAGTGAAGGATGATAAGTGGGGCGAAAATTCGCGGGCTCTTAGCTCGGTCGTCTGCCTGTCCATCAGTACGTCCGTCTCCGTCTGGGAGCAAGCCATCTATTGAGAAATCCGAGTACTAGCGGTGCGAGGGGCGACTGCAACTACTACGACACCGGACAAGCCTACGCCCTTCAGAGCTTCGCCCCTAAAAACGGGTGCAGAACGCCTGAATAAGCCCATCTCTGCAACGAAGGTAGATGTAATTATTCTTGTCAGTGGCAGCTAATGGCCGCATTACTAAGTTGGAGGAAGTGCCAGCGAATTCTTATTCTCAACTTTAAAAAAAAAAAAAACGTGGCTGATCTGCCTATATAAAAATCCCTATAACACGAAAGTGAAACGTTTCTTCACAGAGGTAATTGACCGTTTATTGTGCATTGTTTCAGAAATAGCATCGCACATATCAAGCAGAAAGCACGCACGAAATGAGCATACACAGGACGAGCGCGTATTAACAACGGTGACAGCGCGACACTTAAAGCGCTCCGTTCAAACAGAAAGAGAGACGCACGAAACGACCGCACATGTCTACACAGGACAAGAGCGAACTGTCACTACTCTTGCTGCGTCGTATGTCAGCAGCGCGCTCCTTCAGTAAACGCGGCCGCGCAGCATGTGAAGTGATCTTCGTCCTCTCCCGAATTGCGAGTCTGATAAGAGCGCGCGCACGAGATACCACGCCCCGTGGAGGAGACGACCTTTAGAGCGCGGCCAACGCGAGTCGTTAGCGCCATCTCGCCACTGATTACAAAAACGCGCTATAATTATGAAGCTCTGAGGACTGCCACACGGTGTATGTGTATACAAATGTCTTGCCGTTAGCCCTCCAGACAACGTACGCTATGCGGCGTAGTGGTTAGTGCCGCGCGCTGAGAATCGGCAGGTTGCTAGTTAGATTCGACGTGACAAATGCTTGCCTTCTGACTTTTTCTTTGCGATCTCTTATTATATATTTCAACGTAATTGCTGGGACGGAACTATTCTCGTCAGAAGAGCTCCCGCCAGAAGAGTCAGACACAGTGTTATCGCCATCACAAAATGGCGACAGACCACGAATTTGTGTAAAATTAGAGTTTTTGAATAAAATGCCTTTGTGCATGACCGAGCTGTGCGCGTTGTAACTTGATGACTTGTGAAGTGCAACTAGCAAAGTCCCGCTGTTATCGCGAACGTTGACGTCAAGCGAAGGTAATTTTGCACAATGAAAACAGCTGCGTCGCGCCCTTATGAGTGTACAAGCCTTTAACTGCGACGATGGCAGGAGATAAGCTGTATGTCGACCAGAAAACGTTTCCACGGTCCGAAAACATGAAAATATCAACTTTTCGGCCGGCTGAAGCTACTTGTGGATATGTTGACTAGGTAACGACCGCGAACACGCACGCACAACGTTCAGAAGAATAAATTTTTCTTCCAAGAAGACGTCGTGACTCTTCTAATCGTCAACCCCGGGGACCGCAAGTTCATATATATTGCACTCGGGAATATTTGGGCGGCGTTCGATTCGAGCAAAGGTGTTTTTTTTTTCTTCTTTCAGATGAAATCTGAAAGCCGTCGTAAGATGCGGGGTTGGCGTAAGACTGCGTTGTATAACCGAGGTTTTCAATACATTGCTTCTATGGAGTTGTTACCGGGACCAAACCGAGTCGTCGTAAAATGCGGGTCATCGCAAAACTAGGGAACGTATAATCGAAATTGCTTCGATTATATGATCCCCGGTTTCGCGATGACTTTATGTTTGCGACGGATTGGTTTGGTACCGGTAAAATCCCTATGGAGATAATGTATTAAAAACATATATTACACAGTTTTATGCCGACCTCGTATCTTACGACGACTTGCTGATTTCATCCGAAATTAAAAAAATGAACTTCTACTTACATCAAACGCTGACCAAATGCTCACGAGGGCAAAATATGAACTTGCGTTCCCTTACGTTGAAGGTTAGCAAAGTAGAGATTGAGACAGGATGTCTTCTTGGAATGGATAATTTATTCTCTGGCGTTCTGCACTTGTGCATAACCTAGATCGCGTGCCTACGCAGGGTCGTTACCTAGAGAAGCCTCGTCCAGAGCAGCTTCAGCTGGCTGAAAAGCTTATTTCTGAAATCCTGATAATTTTTTGTTCTTGGTCTGTGGAAACTTTTTCTGGTCGACGTACAGCTGATTTCCTGTCATGATTTGTGGCACTCGTAGTCACAACGAGCGTGAGCACGCAAAAGGACGCATTTTCACTGTGGAAAATAACTTCGTCAACGTTCATTATAACAGCAGGACATCATCACTGGTAGCATTTCACAATGCAACAAGCTACGATGCGCACAGCTCAGTATCATACGTACTTCGCAGGTTCATACGTAGGTCGCAGGTTCGGTTCCTGCTCACGGCAAGTTATCTTTTCACCCACTTTTCTTTCTTTGCATTTACATTACAATTGGGTCTAATACCTTTCCCTACACTTTGCTTGGCATTATTGTCTGTTATATATCTATAATATTGTGTCAAACACGAAAAAAGAAGTCCTTAAATAAACACTTGTGTCCCTATAATATATATATATATATATATATATATATATATATATATATATATATATATATATATATATATAGGGACAGAAGTGTATATTTAAGAATATACCATGTAATATGTTTCACTTTCTCCCTTTTCCTTGGTCGCGTCCTCTGGCGGCGCGTCTTATTTACCCCTAGTTGCCGGCGGCTCTCCATCGGTCCTCCCTTCCCCTTCTTCTTCTAGTCTGTCGCTTGCTTCGTTAGCCCGTTTGTTTCGTTTTTATTTTTTCTTTTCTTTCTTTTCACTTTGGGGGCCTCCAAACTGTGAGGGTGGCCCTCTGCTACGGGAACTTGTATCGTTTCGGCTAGATCCTCTGAAGAAGGCTGGTCCACCAGCCGAAACTGTTAGGACTATAAAAATAAATTGTTTTGTTTCCTCTACTGAACTATTCTCAAATGAAGTATATATATATATATATATATATATATATATAAAGACACACGTCGAAAAACAGACCAGAAACTGTTTTTCGACGTGTGTTTTTATTATATATATATATATATATATATATATATATATATATATATATATATATATATATATATATATATATATATATATATATATATATATATATATATATATATATGACACGGCCTTCGTTTCTCTGACGAAGGCCGTGCCACGGCCGAAGCATAAGTCGATAAGAAAATTGCTTGCTTTCTCGTACGCCTTCTTTTCTTAGAGAAGGTGAGTGTGGTGTCCCAGTTATTATCACGCAGCGTGATTTTAAAATAGAGGAACGGCATTGCGCTATAATGTCTTTGTGCATATTGTTCCCAACATACCGTAGTAGCAGCTACTATTTTTTGGTAATATTAGTTAATTAGTGGTAATTCCATTTGGAAATAAAAATACTCGCCTGTTTACCAAAACCTCAGTGAGACAGATGTACGCATGTTGCAAAGACATCTCTCTGTGCTACTTTCAACAACGAACTAATTATATGGACATTTATCGACTGGATTTCGCCACCGGCGTCGATGTCATGCAGCGTATTTGTATACGTCTCTATGTGTATGAAAATGCAAGAGAAAACATCCCAGAAGAAAGACTCCAGCCTGCGGAATCGAACGTGGGACCTCCGCCTCGTGAATGCGCGTCGTTAACCACTGAGCTACCGAAACGTTTTTTTTCTTTAAATTTAACTGAGCCACCAAAACGTACCTCGTTCAACGTTCAAACAGCAAGCTATTCATATCTACCACTTACCGCTTTTGGCGGTCATCTCGGGGGGGGGGGGGGGGGGACTATCGTGTTTCCAGCATTATCAGGAAAATGGCGCAGTGAGCGCGCGGCGGCCCTCATCTCTCACGCGTACTTTGGCCCACGTAGAGAAGGAGGAGGTGTACGCTTGATCGTGCGCCCTTATCTTGCAGTGGGGATAATCCTACGTCTTGGCTAGCCTTTGGGCTTCGTCGGGACGTTTCTGCTGTAGTTACCGGGTGCACAAAGGTCACTACAATTGTTACGCAGCCTACGTTTGCGAAAAGGGCGCGCTTTTCAGACATAGCGAAGTAACAATTGAGACGCTTACTCGCGTTTATGTTTACCCGAGAGTACTTTTCGTGCGTCCTTTGTGCTGAAGAAACGTGGGGCACGTTTCAATCTGCTTGCCATTCTGCGCTGACCTTCCAATTCGTTGCTATCGCATTCATTGCTTCGCCTTTGCGAAGCAATGCGGCGAAGCTGTGACTTTTTCCTACTACAAAAGATTACCCGCGCCTACACATATAAATCTATCATTCCCGCGCCTACACATATAAATCTATCATTCTTTATGAAAGTATGACTCTGGCACGTCTTGTTACATCGTCATGCCACAATCACATCGCACAAATACATGCATGCTCACATCTATTTACGCGCCTTGTATATTTCATGTATCTGACGATGTAGTTACACATGCGTTGGGGCCCCCTGTCGTACCGTGTATATAAGGAGTGCAATTCCATTATGCCTTGTATTCCATGACGAAGGCTGGACCCCGGCTGACACGTTGTAATAAAAGGTTTTCCCACGATTGTCCGTCATTTTGAATTTCTAGAAGACACCGAATCCACCGAAGCTTTTTCGACACACACACACACACACACGCACACGCACACGCACACGCACACACGCACACACACACGCACGCACGCGCGCGCGCGCACACACACACACACACACACATATCGCGCAAAATATAGAGATGGAGATATATGGGCCCCCTGTGACTGTCCTTACATATAGCCGAAAAAAAAAATAAGTTCTACAAAACTTACTCCGACACTGACATACCACAGCAAGTCTTTCATGGTACAGGTGTACTCCTCAGGTGATCCACCAAAGTCTACGTCTATGTGGTTCTGAAATAAAAATAATGAAATGGTAATTATGAAAAAAAAAACGTGTGATGCAATTTTTACATGTATTTCTTCGCAGAACCGAGGAGTGTAGTCTGCAGGCCCTTCGTTCATATTTCGTTTATGCCTTCGTTTATGCCAGCAGGCTGACAGCAGCCTGCTGGCATAAGCTATCACGCGATGCTGCCCACGTTGTCGCTGAGCCAACACAGCGCCTATTCCGTAACCGCTGGCATCGGTGCGCACTTCCGTCGGTGCCGTAGGGTCGAAGTGAGCCAGCACAGGAGAAGAAGTGAGCCAAGTGGTCAGGTCGGAAAATGCTGCTGCTTGCGAGGGACCCCAGGTAAACGTCTCATCCGGTTTGAGTAAATCTGTTAGGGGCCGAGCGATTTCCGCGAAGTTCTTGATGAACCGCCGAAAATAGGAGCAGAGCCCCACAAAGCTGCGGACATCTTTGGCGGTTTTCGGCACAGGAAAGTCCTTCACAGCTCGAACTTTTTCTGGGTCAGGCTGTACACCGTAAGCGTCAACAATATGTCCAAGTATTGTAATGCGACGGCGACCAAACCGGCACTTAGATGAGTTCAGCTGAAGGCCGGCGAGACGGAATACATCAAGAATTTTTGACAGTCTCTCAAGGTGCGCTTCAAAAGTGGGAGCAAACACAATCACGTCATCCAGATAACAAAGACACGTAGACCACTTGAATCCATGGAGCAGGGAGTCCATCATTCGTTCAAAGGTGGCGGGGGCATTACATAAGCCGAAAGGCATGACTTTGAATTGGTAGAGGCCATCGGGTGTTACAAAAGCCGTCTTCTCTCGGTCCATGGGGTCCACGGCAATCTGCCAATAACCAGAACGAAGATCTATGGAAGAAAAGTAGGCGGCACCATGGAGGCAATCAAGGGCGTCATCAATGCGGGGCAGAGGGTATGCGTCTTTCTTGGTGATGTTGTTAAGGTGGCGATAGTCCACACAAAATCGCCACGATCCGTCCTTCTTTTTAACTAATACCACCGGGGATGCCCAGGGACTGGAGGATGGTTCAATAATGTCCTTCGCTAGCATCTTGTTCACCTCCTTCTGAATTATGCTCCGCTCAAAAGCAGACACTCTGTAGGGACGGCGGTGAACAGGGTTGGCATCACCTGTGTGTATGCGATGCTGGACAAAGGACGTCTGCCCAAGAGGTTGGTCACCAAAATCGAAAATATCCTGGTAGGCCTCGAGAAGATGTTGTAGGGCTTCAACTTGCGGAGGCGGAAGATCTGTGGCGATCATGTCTACAATTTGACGGCTGCCCGAATGTGTTGCGAGTGATGTGCGCTGCGGTGAAGCAAGTGTGTCTAAGGCAAGCACTTCAATTTGTGAATCGAGCAACGGACACAGGTGGGCCACAGAAATGCCTTGTGGAAGCACATGATTCATGTAGCCGAAATTGACAAGAGGTAGACAAGTTTTGTTATCTGTGATGCTGAGCACCGTATAGGGCACTGCAACATTGTGCGCAAGGAGTACGTCGGTGAGAGGCGTAGCGTAATAGTCACCGTCGGGCACAGCTGGTGAGCACAGAAAATCGACGTACGTCACAGTTTTCGAGGGCAGGCGAACAAAATCGCTGCATTGTAATCGGCATGTAGGTTGGTACGGGGCGGCACTGATTTGTGGCAGTTCAAGGCGGAGCACACCAGCGGAGCAATCAATCAGAGCAGAATTTGCGGCAAGAAAATCGAGGCCTAGTATGAGGTCGTGGGGACATGTTTCAAGCACGGTAAAAAGGACGACCACTTGATGACCGGCTACGGTAAGTTGAGCTGTGCACATACCGACGACAGGGACTTTTGCACCATCTGCAACTTGGACGACACTGGTCAAGGGGGGCGTGAGGACCTTCTTCATGCGACGACGAAAACGCGAACTCATAATACAGACGTGAGCGCCCGTATCTATCAAAGCTTCAACAGGTGTACCATCAACATATACTTCTAGGGTGTTCCGGTTCAAACGTAAGGGCAACAGAGGATTTTTGGGTAAGGTCGACAGGGCAGCTTCACCTCCAGAAGCTGCGCAGCCTAGTTTTCCGGGGACGCGCGGCGGTTGAACGATGGCGAGGGAGAGCGGCGACGCGTGTTTGAACGAGAAGGGCGGCTTTGAGGCGGTGGCGACGACGGGGCACGGTGGCCGTAGTCCTCAGGGGCAGTAAATGCTGTAGACTCGGGGCAGGTCGGATAACGGTGGTTTGGTGGACGGAATGAGTTACTGTAAGCGGAGTACGAGCCAGAAGACATAGATGGCCATTGGCTGCGGCAGTAACGAGCGATGTGTCCTGCGCGACCACAGCGGAAGCAAATTGGCTTATCATCAGCTGTTCGCCATTCAGACGGGTTCCTGGTTCGATTAGAGTACGGACGGCGACGTCTCATGTCCACAGAAGCTATCGAGGGGCCAGTATTATCCAGTGTGGATGCAGTGGACAGGATACCAAGGTTAGCAAATTCCTGGCGGACAACAGCCTGGATCAAGGCGACAGCTGGCGTTGAGGCGTCGGGCAACGTCGGTTTGTTGGCAGCCGGGTAAGCGGCCTCGAGTTCACGTCGGACGATGCGCGTCACGTCGTCGGTTGTAGACGGATGACAAGGAGTGGCTTCGCAAGACGACGTTGCCGCGGTGTTGGGTAGGCGCTGAAACTGCTGCAAAATGCGTCGACTCTTCGCCTGCTCGAGACGGCGGCACTCTTTGATCACGGCGTCCATGGTCGTTACGTTGGTGAATACAAGCAGACTGAACGCATCGTCGGCGATTCCTTTTAACACGTGCGAAATCTTGTCGGCCTCAGTCATGTTGGGATCGGCCCTTTGACACAACGCTAAGACGTCTTGAATATAAGTCAAGTAGGGCTCAGTGGACGTCTGTGTACGGACAGCCAATTGCTTTCGGGCATCAAGTTGTTGACCAAACGGGTTGCCAAAAAGGTCGCGGAGCTGTTCTTTAAACATTTCCCAGCTTGTGATTTCGTGCTCGTGGGTCTCAAACCAGGTGCGAGGGGTCTTGTCAAGATAGAAAATGACATTCGCAAGCATAACGGTTGGGTCCCAGCCATATTGCTTGCTGATGCGCTCGTACATGCTAAGCCACTTGTCCACATTCACGTTGTCCTCTCCGGTAAAGGTACCGGGATCACGGGGTTGCGTTAGGGCGACGTACCGGGTTGCTGTCGTTGCTGAGGTAGGTGGCGAAGCCGTATCCTCACCCGGAGCCATGGTAGCAGACTTAAGGAGGCGTCCACTGCGTAGCTCCGTTGTCAGAAGAGTACCCAGCACCTCCACCAAAATGTTACGTGGAAAATAACAGTTGTCGGTCCGCAGCCACAACGCAGCTCACTCACAATGTCCACTTCTTTTACTCTCAGTCCGAGGCACCTTACTTGGGTATGCCCCACTATGCCCTCTTTCAGTCAGATGAAATCACGTAACAATATGTAGGAAAACATATGCGATGTTTTTTCGAATGTCACTGACGCAGAACCGTGCATAAGATAGTCCGAAGGTGGGGGTGGAGGATGTGCTTGGGTTCAGTTTAAAGGAAACAAGCTCAGCAGTACACGTAACAATAAAAATGAAGCGATGACGTCCTTCTGAAAGCTGTCTACCTTTGTTCTCGGCGTGAGGGGAGATGTAGAGGCGTGGGCAGAATTTTTTTTTCCGCTGTGGGCGGGTACCAGGCAGGCATATATTGATTTGAAGTGAGGCTCCGGCAGGCAGTTTTCGGCGAGTGTCATTTTAATAATGCTTGGGGTTCATCGTTCCGAAACCACCATAACTTTATGAGCGACGCCGTAGTGCAAGGACTCCGGAAATTTTGACCGCCTGGTGTTGCACCAGAATTTCATCGCATGGGCCTTATGCGTTTTCGTTTCCATCCAAAGTGTGGCCTCCGCGGCTGGGATTCGATCCCGCGACTTGAAGGCCAGGAGTGTCATTTTGTGCCATGGCGAAAAGAACAACTCGGGGCTGAGTTCGTCGCTAAGTTTAAACGGCAATGTGAGCACTTGTTTTTGTCTTTTTTGTCTGTGTGTCTCTCTTGTTTTTTGATGGATTCATACCAAGTGACCCAGCTATCTACACTTTTGAAAATTAAACGGAGGCTCAAACTGAAAAAAAAGTATAGGGACGGGTTGCCTTTTTAATTGCAAAGGTTGGTCGAATTGCATATTTACTTGCACATTGTTATGTGCATATTGGTGGACAACTTTCGTGGAAATTAGAATGTTTTAACCCCAGGTGGAAATCCTGTAGGCCGGTGTGCTGAGAATTGGGTGCACGGTAAAGAACCCTATGTGGTCGAAATTTCTGGAGCCCTCCCCTAAGGCGCCTCTCGTAGTCGTATGGTGTTCTAGAACGTTAAACCTCACATACCGATCATATCGATCGATAGAATGCTTGAACCGAGCTCACCTGTCCGTCGTCGCAATCCTGGCTGATGACGCCCATTTTGGCTCCATGCTTCCCCATGATTCTGTGCGGGACCTCTGCAGGACTTTACAGGCACACAAAGATAAAAACATGGCTGAACCTTTCCTTATAGGAATCGGTATAAGACGAAAGTGAAACGTGTCTTCATAGAAGCTATTGGCGTTTGGCAGTTATAGCACCGTTTCTCGTGAACAGAGCCACGTTGACGGCACGTCTCCATCAAGACAACTACCACACACGATAAAGATTTAACCGTTGTGGTAACTGAAGTATTTAACACACGCAGCGTATCGTTAATTGCACACAAAGATGACATCAACAAGCATACACTATACACTGTTACTTGATATTGCCACGTTCGTTTCTCAAGCATTGTTATCGCCCCGTTACACTACGTTCAGCGCAAACCGTGCCTACGATGCTTGAGAAGCTTCGAGGCTGTAATAGATCGTTTTGTTAAGATTACGTTCACTTTGTGAACATTACAGATTTTTCTTTAACCTACGTCGCCAATAGCGATAACGCTAGAATTTTCCATGGCAAGGTCATAAAGGCCGACACGCTTCGCCGCTGGTCAGTTGATCGACAGCCGAAGCTCTGTTCGCCGCTATCAGTGCCAGTGTCTCGCTGTAATCTTAGTTTCCTTTCACGTGGCCACAGATTCGGCCGAATAAATAGATTATTCTTCAAAGTACTGTCTGTTCCCCTTCGTCGACGTCACGACCCCGTGACATCTGGTGGAGGTGCTTACCGGCTCATGTACCGAATGCCCCCCTCCAGCTGCGAGCCAAGCCCACATCGTGAAGAGGACGTTGAAGCCAACCTCGATCAGCGAGCTAGCCGCAGGCAGCGAAGGCTACATCCAGAGTACAGGACACTACCCGATAACATTCGCAAGCCCAAGGCCGCCACCTCTACAGCGAGCACCATGACTGCCCCTGTGCCAACGCCCGCCACAGTGGTTGTGCACCAGCAGAGAGAGCCACCAACCTTCCACGAATCATCCTGGGAAGAAGCGGAGACCTGGCTGGGGACGTATGACAGAGTGGCCGCTTTGAGACAGTGGGACTCGGAAGAAAAGCTACGTCGCGTCTACTTTTACCCGGAAGACGCGGTGCGGACCTAGTTCGAGAACTCCGAGTCGTCACTTCGAACCTGGGACCTCTTCCGCGGCGCATTTTTTGAAGCGTTCATTGAAGTCGACGAGAGGAATCGAGAGTGCCTTTATTACACCAGACAGCCTGTTTGAGTTTAAGGTCATTCTCTTTGTTCTTTTCTCGGCACCCGCGACTTCCGAACGTGTCATAAATTCAATACTGGCCGGCTTGAAGTGGCAGACTTAATTACCTTGTGTACCTGGACGATGCCGTGGTGTTTTCCTCAAACTTCGACGAACACCTCCGGCGCCTTGAAGCTGTACTGCAAGCAATCGAGAACTGCGGACTCACCCTCAAGGCCGAAAAGTGTCGCTTTGCATACGAGGTGCTCTTGTTCCTGGGCCACGTCATCATCAAGTCCGACGTTCGCTCCGACCCGCAGAAAACAGCTTCTATCGCCACCCATCGAAAGAAGGCCGTGCGTCGATTTCTTGGCCTATGCGCCTATTATAGGCGGTTCGTCCAAAACTTTGCCCGCATTGCAGAGCAACTCACTAACCTTACCAGGACCGATGTGGAGTTTAAGTGGGAAACGCCGCAGGAGGAAGCATTTCAGGAACTGAAACGACGCCTGCAGACGCCTCCGCTACTCTCGCATTTAGACGAATTCGCCGAGACAGAAATACACACCGACGCAAGCAGTGTAGGACTCGGCGCCGTTCTTGTGCAGAGGACTAACGGACTGGAAATAGTCATCAGTTATGCTAACCGGTCGCTATCAAAGGCATAAACCAACTTTTCTGTGACAGTAAAGGAATGCTTTGCAATCATCTGGGCTACATCGAAGTTCCGCCCCTACCTTTATGGCAGGCCCTTCAAAGTTGTGAGCGACCACCACGCCTTGTGTTGGCTAGCTAACTTGAAAGACCCTTCAGGTCACCTCACATTATGGAGCCTGAGACTTCAGGAGTTCGACGTTACCGTCTTTTACAAGTCTGGAAGAAAATACTCTGACGCCGACTGCCCGTCTCGTGCCCCCGTCGAACCACCGCCGAAGGGCGACCCGGACGATGACTGTTTCTTGGGAACCATTAGTGCCGACGACTTCGCCGAGCGACAGAGAGCTGACCCGAAATTCGGGAGCTTTGTAATACCCAGAGGGCAAGGCCGCTGTTGTCTCAAACGTACTCAAACAAGGAGTTGAGTTGTTTTTCTTGTGGAACGGTGTTCTCCGAAAGAAAAACTTCCCGCCACTTCGGGCCAACAATCTCGTCGTAGTACCTTCTGCGTTACGTCCAGAAGTTTTGGATGCTCTACACGACAATCCGACGGCTGGAAACGTCGGTCTTTTCCGTATGATTGCAAGAGTACAGGAGAAGTACTACTGGCCACGTATTTCCGCCGACGTCACTCGTTATGTAGAGAAATCTCAGGGCTGCCAACGACGAGATACCGCCGACCAGGCCAGTCGGACTTCTCCAGCCCATCGAGCCACCTCACCGGCTGTTCCAGCAAATCGGCATAGACTTACTGGGGCCGTTCCTAACGTCGAATTCCGAGAACAAATGGATCGTCGTATCCACCGACTACCTCACGCGCTAGACAAGGGCCCCGCCCAAAGGCAGTGCTGCCAAGGTAGCAAAGTTCTTCGTTGAGAACATCGCCCTGTGACACGGAGCTCCACAGGTCCTCATTACTGACAGAGGTACGGCCTTTGCGACGGACATAACTCGGGCCATTCTGAGGTACAGCCAGACAAGTCACCGCCGCACCACTGCTTACCATCCACAGACGAATGGCCTCACTGAGCGTCTTAGTAATGCCATCGCCGATATGCTGGCTATGTATGTCAACGTCGAGCGCGAGACGCAAGTTTTTCCGTACGTGATCTTCGCGTACAATATGGCCGTCCAAGAAACGACGCAGATGACGCCGTACAAGTTGGTCTATGGAAGAAGCCCAGCAACGACGCTCGAGGCTATGCTTCCAAAACTCGCTGAAAAAAAGAACCTCGACGTCACCGCCTACCTTCAGCGGGCGGAAGAAGCTGGTCAACTCGCCCGCCTCCATATCAAAAATCAGCAGGCTACCGACCCCTGCCGTTCTAATTTTTGACGAAGCTTCGTGGAGTACCAGCCCGAAGACCGTGCCTGGGTATGGTCGTCCACACGCCGACGTGGACTCAGTGAGAAACTTCTGCGACGGTACTTCATACCGTACAGATTAGCTCGGCGTCTCGGCCCACTCGACTACGAGATTGTTCCCGACGGCATTACGAACTCTCAACGGCGCCGTGCTCGACAAGAAGTTGTCCATGTCGTGCGACTCAAGCCATTTCATGCGCAAACCTAAGGACTGTATTTTGTTGTTGTTGCTGCGCTTTATAAATTGTACTTATTGTTTATTGTCTTTATTATTGTATCTTACTATTAGTGTATTGCTCTATTGTAAGTTATTGCTTGTATTTTCTTTCAATATTTCTGTACTTTCATTTTCCGTTTAAGCATCGGGGTGACGCCTTTTTCAGAGGGAGGCAATGCCACGTTCGTTCCTCAAGCATTGTTATCGCCCCGTTACACTACGTTCAGCGCAAACCGTGCCTACGATGTTTGAGAAGCTTCGAGGCTGTAGTAAATCGTTTTCTTAAGATTGCGCCCACTTCGTGGACATTACAGATTTTTCTGGAACGTACGTCACCGCTAGCGATAGCGCTAGAACTTTTGATGGCAAGTGTATTGTTACGAATGCCGTTTTTTCACGGTCCTGCTCGTCGACCTCTATTTGCCAATATCCGCTTTTCAGATCCAAGGAGGAGAAAAACTTTGCGGATCGCAGCTGATCTAGTGTATCGTCGATACGTGGCAAGGAGTAGACATCTCGTTTAGTTACACTGTTCAGTTTTCGGCGTTCGACACAGAATCTAAGTGTGTTGTCTTTCTTCTTAACGAGCACTACGGGGGATGCTCATGGAGTATTCGAAGGCTGGACGACATCGTTCGAGAGCATCTCCTCCCCTTGCTTCTTGGTAATTTCGCGTTGTTTTTTGTGACACTCGATATGGATGCTGGAATATAGGCCTCGTGGTGTCTTGCGTTATAATTCTGTGTTTTGTAATTGACGTGCGCTTGACCTTCGAGGCATTGGAGAAGCAATCGGAGAATTATTTTACCAAGGCATAAATCTGTTTTTTTTTTACTGTCTGGAAGGCTCTGATTGACGGTCACAGATGTGTAGAAGTTGCAGGCCACTGGTCGAGTGGTTGACGTCATTAAGCTGCATAGTTCGGTCGCCATACAGAAGTAGTGTAAATAGGCAATAGCCGTGCCTTGAGCTATGTGTTGTAATTCATTGGAGAAATTTGTGAGTAGGATATCTGCACGGCCATTCGTCAAGTGAACAAGACTTGAGCTACGCAGACACTTTTGTTCAAAAACAGCTCTACAATTGTATCCGCTATGCCTTCGCGGTTGTACAATGCGTCATTCTTTACGAGCACCAATATACTGCAGCGTGGCGGCACAGTTACGTCATCATGAACAACGCGTGGAGCAGTTAGGCGTCGTTCTTCAGATTCCTCTACAGGCATAGCTCGTTCAGTCGAAAACAACATGCTTGACCTACCCAGGTTAATTACGGTGCCATTAGCTCGCGAAAAATCCATTCCTATAATGAGTTCCCTTGAACATTCTGGTCCCACAATGAAATCGGCAACGTAAATAAACTCCCGTATTTCAAGTCTTGCAGTGCATCTCGAAAGGGGCGTTGTAATATGGCAGACTGCCGTGCGTATCTGCGATCCATTCCAGTGTGTCACAACTTTTTTTAGCTTCTTCACCATCTTGTGACTTATCACTGAATAATCAGCACCGGTGTCGACTAAGGCATTCAGCTCTCATTCTTTCATTCTCATCCGCAAATCGTAAATAATGCTTTCGTTGCTGCACCTATTTACCGGGAATACGCCGTCGTCACCCTCAAACCATATTGGAGGATCTTCGTAACTGACGTTATCAGCGGCCTCACCTCCACAGGTCGCTTGCTTTAGTTTTCCGGCAGTAGACTTGGAGTACGATGACCAGGCTGCCTTGGAGGTGCACGTGGGCTGGTTGACCGGTAGCGCATAGGCGATGGTGACCGTAACCAATGTTGACGTAGAGGTGGTGAGTTCTGGCGCGTGGACAACTACTTCTCAATCTCCGCTAGTCGTTCACTGTTTCGGGGGCACAGTTCATACGACGGGAAGCCTCTTACTCCAGCCTGTTGGTAAGGGCACAATCTGTAGAGATGACCCGCTTCGCCACAACGAAAGCACAGAGGCATGTGCTCGTGATCACGCCAGACGTCACTTTTCCTGGGCCTATGCTCTACATCGACGTGTGCTACGTGCTCCTGGGGGCAGATATGTAGCCGTTGGTTCCCGTGGACGAGGTGCGCTGCGTGCTGCAGGTGGGAGAGGAGTGGCCGCCATCGCAACTGCTACATTGCTGTGTACCGTGGGTTTTCTGAGACCTTCAGAGTATGTTCAGATAGGTCGAACAGGCTGGAACTCACGCTCTGGCTCTCGTATGACCTGCCTCGGTTCGTCTCGAACAACGTCGGTAACAGATAGTGCAGTTAGAGTCTGGGGCATTTGAAGTCTGCTCAGTTCTCTGATAACTGATCTAATGAGCTCTCGCAGGGCTTCGACGTCGTTTTGCACGCCTCCGGAGAATACCTGTGCAGATTCGCAGTTTAGATTCTGATCGTACTGCCGAGCCCGCTGTACCAGTGTTTTTTGAATGGCCGTCGCTTCCGAATAAAACTCAGCAACTGCGCTTTGGGGGGGGGGGGTTGCGGACGAGAACGGCGAACAGCTCTTGTTTCACTCCACACATTAGATGGCGCACCTTCTTGTCCTCAGCCATGTTGTAATCTGCATGCTTGAACAGACGGACTATGTCCTCGATGTACTCAGCAGCACTCTCGTTTGCGAGGTGGTTCCTCGATTGAAGAGCAGCCTCTGCCTTTTTTTTTCGGGTCTGTGTTCGCGAACGTAGCCACCGCTTGTCATCGAAATACCTCCCATGTAGACAACGAGGTTTCGTGGTTCTAAAACCATGTCTTTGCGAAGTCTTCTAGGGCGAAGTATACGCGACGGAGCTTCTCTCTTTCGTCCCATCTATTTAAGGTCGCCACTCTATCAAACAAGTTCAACCAATCTTCCACGTCCTCGTACGAGCCGCCGAGGAATATTAACGGCTGGTGCGGTTGGCTAATGAACACTTGTGCCGGTGTTACCTGGCTAGTCATAGTGGTGGCATTCATCGTTTGAATTCCCCTTGGTGTGAAGTGAAGAGGACTGAACTCAGGTGAGTGACCTCGAAGACGGCGACTTGCCCTCTGGTGTACAGGAGTCACTTTCACGGGGTTGACTCACTGGTCGTCGTGGCTACGCTGTCTTAAGCTCGCGGGGCTTCGATTCATACCCCGCACTTCTACCAGAAATGTAGCGATGCTGAGACAGACAGGCTAAAAAAACAAGCGTCTTTATTGGGGCGAACTTGCGCCACGATGATTGCGGCGGGCTACTTGAACGTGGCCAACCTGTCGCGGCAGTATAAATGTCGACGCGCTTCGCCGCTGGTCATTTCATCGACGGCCGACACTCTGTTCGCCGCTATCAGCGCCTGTGTCTCGCTGAAATCTTACTTTCCTTTTACGTTGCCACAGGTTCGGCCGAATAAATAGATTATTCTTCAAAGGTACTCTCTGCTCTCCTTCGTTGACGTCACGGCCCAGTGACAATATGCATGGCTTCGAAGATCGCGGGTTTTGTAGAGAAACAGCAAGCTGTGCGCTCCTGAAACCTACGCCAGCGCTGACGTATACTGTGCTTCAGCAGCGCGGGACGTAGAGGTTCATAGATTGAGTCGCGAACGTGTACGGGCGATCCACGTTTTTCTGGAATCAGTTTCGCTTCACCAAGGCACGACATTCGCCCGTCGACATCGTTGCTATTCTGCAGTGCTTACTGCATCAGCTTTATGAAATAAGCCGGTGCTATAGTTGGTACATGTGTAACGCATTCGAGAGCATTGAACGCGTTATTCGAAGGTCGTAGGTTCGATTCCTGCTCACGGCTGGTTATTTTTTCATCCACTTTTCTTTCTTCTTATTTACATTCCATTGGTTCTAATAACTTCCCATGTACATTCCTTGGCATTACTGTCTGTTAGATCTCATTAATATTGTGTTAAAACACGGATAAACGAGCCCTTAGGTATATACTTCTTTCCCTTATATATATATATATATATATATATATATATATATATATATATATATATATATATATATATATATATATATATATATATATATATATATATATATATGTGTGTGTGTGTGTGTGTGTGTGTGTGTGTGTGTGTGTGTGTGTGTGTGTGTGTGTTATATTATGTTTAGTTATGTTACGCACTGTGTTTCAAGTACTCCTTGTCGGCGCAACGCGTCTAGAACTGCTGGTATCTGTACCGCGTCAAAGGCATTTTTCAAATCAATGACTATCATATAGAAGGCTCTTTGTATTCGACAGTGTTCTCTGTTTTTTGATCAATCGCATGGATGCGACCCAGGATAAGGTACCCTTTCCTGAAACCAGCTTGTTCTCCAGGGCGATAAAATGTGAGCGTGGCTCTTACACCATTCGATGCTACTCCGTGGGTATTTTGTGTAATGCTGAAGGGAGGCTGATCGGCCGGTAGTTTTGCAAGCCTTTCGCGTCCATCTAGTAAAAAAAAAAGGTGACAGTTTTTCATACTGCCTGGTACGTTAGAATTTTAGGACATGGTATGTATAGGCAAGCATGCTTCTTAATCATTAACTCTCGCCATTAATCACATGGGTCCTAATGCTGTCTTCTCTAGTCGCTTTTCCGTGGGACGTGTCTTGTAGGGCCTTGCTAACCTCACCGATACGTGCACGTTTGAGCCTTTGGCGTCTTGATCCCTGTTGCTTTTACTTGGGGCAATTACTACTTGAGCTGGGTATACTTCTGTGCAAAAGTCCTTTACAGAGTTTGGTTTTGACTGTCTTGATTCTAGCGCCATCTTTTATTGCTGCCTTTACCTCTTTGACGTTACGGTTTCCTAAATCACCATGTTTGCTTTCTGTCACCAATTTTGGTGTCGAAGCGATGGCTCCAGCGAAATTCCTCGTTCATTGATAGGTTGGGTAAGTGATCGGATTGCAAATAATCTTCGCGCACTGTTTATCTGTAATCCATTAGAGAGCTTCTAATGCACCTTTTGTGTTCTTGAGAGCGTTTACCTGTTTATTTATTTGTTTATTTAGAAGTACCTTACAGGCACCTAGAGGCATTGTGTAAGGGAAACATTTTGAACGTGTATAATGTACAAAAAGATTAAAAAATACATGAGAACAGCATACACAATGTTATTGTAACACAAGTGGGAATGCAATATATAATGTGATTGCGCTATGTTCTATGCAGCAAAAAAAGGCCAAAAATGTGCACTTTCAATCATGACAGCTCATTTACACAATAATTACTGAGTGGATGTGACATGAGCTGTAAGGTGAAATTGCACATAAATGACGATTAGGGATGTGAAAAAAAAACAATAATATTGTTGTGGAATAAAACATTAATTTAACAACTGCGAGTTTAGTAGATGCTTAAATTTTTCTTGGTAATATATTGATTGATAAAATATCGTACTTCCGTGAATCCACGTCAACTGTCCATTCGTAGCCGTGCGAAGCAACCCATATGCCTATGAACTGCGCCAGGATCAAGCAAGGAAAAACGCCGTCTGAAAATAGAAATTGTGTGCGATAATTCCCTAGTAGATCAGCGTTATTTTGAAGACGGATGCGACTAGTGCAGAAATTTTACCACGTTGCCTGTGGCGTGACCATCTTCCTCCAAAGCTACATTACCCAAGAGAAAATATTATTGAGAACTAACACTAACAGACAATGATGCCAAGGAAAGTGAGGGGATGTTACTAGACGTAATTGCAATGTAAATGTATATGTAATTCAAGAGAAGTTAGCGAAAAGATAACTTTCCACTGGCAGGGACCCAACCTTCGAATAACGCGTCCGATGCTCTACCTCTGAGCTACCCTGACGATCATCCATCCGTCCACTTTATAGGGTGCATATAGGTGCATTTAAGCGTGGGGGTGTCAGTCAGCGCCGCCAGAAGCAATTTTTTTTTGCGTGATGACGTCACGCGGCTCGTGATTTCATTGCGACATATATAGCAGCTGACCAATAATCCCTCGCATACTAACTAAAGGCCTGAAGTCTGCAAGAGAGAGAAACAACTTTATTCATCCCATCTCAATGGAAAGGGGCTGCGAGAACGTGAAAGAATCGTGGCAGGCCCACCTCAGCCCACTTCAGGATTGCTTCCCGAAGGCCCGGGGTTGTAGCTGCGCATGGTAGCCTCCCACAGCTCCTGACTAGTTGCTTACCAAGGCTCGAGGGTGGTGGGTGATTTGGACACTGCAGCGCCGTATAATGTGGTGAAGTCCAAATCACGTCACTTCTCTGACAGTTCAAAACTTGCAGTCTGAATGAGGGTAAATTCTGGGGTAAATTTTGCGTCACAAGCTCGGTCCCTGCCAGCGGCAAGCTTTTCGTCGACTTTTGTTTTTTCACATTTCCATTAGAATTACTACTAGTATAACATCCCCAATCCATTCTTTGCCTGCTAGTTTCCTTCGGGTAATAGAAGATTAACCCCTGTTTCTTCTCACCCTCCGTCGATGATGATGGCGGTGCCTCAGGCGGGCGCTCAAGTCCTTGAACTTGGACGTTCTCGTGAATATTATGCCTAAAAAAACGAACTCTGAAAGTTGCACTTCTTGCGGCCATCACCCAACAGAAACGTTTCATTCTTATGACCATATTGCTACAGGGAGACGACAAAATATTTACTATGTTTACACAACCGGGGCAACAACGGCAAAAATAGCGCAAACAGGAGACGATCATTTCTGCTGCTCGTCGTCTTCACTGAGTTGGTGCGTTCGAACAAAGACGGTAGTGAGAATGGCCACTATACACATGCGTTGGTGAGGTTCACTGTACGATAGGGCTTTGTGTGGACAACGTGAACGATGTAAGTGTGGGATGAAATGACGAAGACGATATCGTACGTCGCGTCGGTCACTTGACAGCATACACGGTATGATCCGGTGTACGAAAACAGTGTCTTTTCAAGAAGCCCAACACGGTATGCTGTGTACCAAAGAAGAGCTGCCGTGGTGCTCCGTGCTGAAGGATAACGTTGTGGAGCGAAAATTCCGCTTCGTCGGTTGTGCAGCTGGTAGGAAGTGCACGAGTTATTGCAAATCGCGTGGCATAGTCCATAAGCGATCTAACAATTCTCAGAGCACGACGTAGGGTGCGGACCAAGCAAGTCGAGGCCGAAACGATGAAACGATTCATATACCACGTCGAGTGATTGACGATGGCCAGCAGGAGAGAGTTTTGACTTCTTGCGGCGCCGACAAATAAAGGTTGCAAGAAGTCACGTAATGACGTGCCGACCTATACATTCCTGGCCAGTAGAAACAGTGGCGTACTCTATCTTAGGTGCGGGAAACGCCGAGGTGCTCCGCTGTTGGCACAGCGTGAAGCTAGGCTAGAAGAGTCAAACGAAGGTGTGTTGTAATGACAAGCGATCGGTAAGGGCCGTCAGGTAGCAAACTGCGACGAAGCAATGTGTACGAAGAAACGAAGTGATGAATCGGAAGCCGGTGAGTTGAGGCGTTCGTTGATCTAGCAGGTAGTCACGTTCCGGCGTTGCTCAGCAGATGTTGAAGAGATCAGTTATTGCGAGCACAGATGGAATGTTATCGCTCGCTGAAGGTTCTGGTGGATCTGCGGGATAACGGGACAGGCAGTCGGCGTCCGGGCCCAAGCGGTCAGACTTGTAGACGACAGTGAACGTTCATTTTTGAAGTCGTAATGATAGGCGACCAGTTTGATCGGTAAGACAAGACAGCCAGCAAAGACAGCCAGCAAAGCGCGTAGTGACCACTGACAATAGTGAAGGGTCTGCCGTACAGATATTGGTGAAAGTTTTTAAAGGCCCAGACCAGAGCGAGGCATCTCTCTCTCTCTCTCTCTCTCTTTTTGTTATTGAATGATCAGCTGCGGAAAGAAGGCGGCTGGCGTATGCACTTACACAATCCTGACCACGTTGACTTTGGCCGAGAACAGAGCCATAACCGTAACCGATGTACGTACCGGGGCCGGTGGCCATGACCACTGTCCTCGATACGAACATCGGTGAGCGTCAAGCTGTCGAAATTGACCAACAGAGAGGGTGATGTGAGTAGGTCGACGAGATGAAAAAAGGCCTAAACTTGGTCAGGGCCCCAAAAGAAGGGCACGTCCTTTGTAAGATGGTGCGTGAGGGGGTGCGCGATCGCTGCAAAATCTTTATCAAAACGGCGAAAATATCAGCATAGTGCAGCTATTCATAACGGTGCGTTCTTTGAATGCGAAGCATTTCTCAGTGAAATTCGGCGACATTGAGCGTATCTATCTATCTATCTATCTATCTATCTATCTATCTATCTATCTATCTATCTATCTATCTATCTATCTATCTATCTATCTATCTATCTATCTATCTATCTATCTATCTATCTATCTATCTATCTATCTATCTATCTATCTATCTATCTATCTATCTATCTATCTATCTATCTATCTATCTATCTATCTGTCCGTCCGTCCGTCTGTCTGTCTGTCGACTTTTAGCTTTCCTGGCCGTTTCGATTATTACATCGATGCTAAAATTGGTTTGGCACAACATGACTGTATTGCGAGCATGAGTGGCTAGCCATAACATGAAAATTATACATTTATAACATAAAAATTATGACATGTATGTCATGAATGTCATGATTTGCATTTCCTGGTATTGCTGCTCCTCTTGCAGTGGTTTCGTTCACATCACATATTGCAAAACAGGTATGGTATGACATGAATGCATGGTGAACATAAGTGACAGACTCTAACGTGGAAATCATGACATGTCCTGTAAGTTATGACTGCACGCCACACTCATGAAGCGCTCGCGGTCGTTTCGCTAGCGTCACATATATCAAATTTGGTATTACGGGACGTGAATGGATGACGAAGGTATGGTACTTGTGCAAACACTATAAATATGAGTTGCGTGTCATGTAACAACATGACTACATGCTATGCTCACAGCGCGCTTGCGCGCCTGCTTCGCTAGCTCCACATATACTGAATTTGGTATCCCATGACGTGAATAAACGACGAAGGTAAATGACACGTCCAAACATGTTAATCATGACATGGAAGTCATGTACAGTATAATTCAGTCCGACTCGTAAAGTTGTGCTGAATTCAAAGTGAAATATCAGCCTTCCTCATTCATGCTTCGCGTATAATCGGTTCCATGTTATCTGCCGATTTTTTTCTGGGCTTGATCGTATACCTGCTGCAGCGTCAACAAGATGGCCAAGCACGGGGATCTCTCGGCGGCCAAAGCGGCATTTTGAAGACCTGTGACGCAGAAGACTTGCAAAATAGACTCACAAGCGTTGCAGGTGACTTGGGAACCTAGATGAGAAATCGATGACATCGTCGAGGAAGCAGAGTCATGTGGACCACTTCAAACCCCGAGTCCATCATGCGCTGAAATGTTGTTGGTGCGCTGCGCAGCCCGAAGGGCATGACCTCGGACTGGTAGCGCCCACCCTGTGGGATAAAGACGACCTTATTGCGATCATTTTCATCGACAGCAATTCGCCATTAATCTGAGCGAACATCTATGGAAAATAAGTACGCGCGCCATGTAGAGAATTAAGGGCGTCGTCCATTCGCGGCAAAAGTATCGACGACTTTCTTGGGGATCTTGTTGAGGTTCCGATAGTCCACTCATAACCACCAGGTATTGCCTTTTTATTGCGAAAGCTGTTATGAGATCTGAACATGGGTCATGCGCAGCACCGTAGTTGTCTGCCGCCGCCGGTGTCTATAACAAGTATCGAACGAAAAAATAAATAAAAGCATCAATGACACAATGGAGTTCTAACCCGAGTCTGCTACGTGCCAGCCCAGTATTTCACCACTGAGCAACGCCAGTGCTTCGGACTCGTTTCTAAACTCGCCTTGCGCAGGCTTGATGTCGGGAAAGTAATCGCGTGAATATCAGTAATAAAGCGTTTCAGAACATCAAAAGAACAGCCAGGCGTCACACAATGCGAATTGCGTAATGAGTGGTTCATTCAATGCTCCAACCCATCAGATAACTTGTTCTTGATTAGTGATAACCTATTTACTGTGGCACATACCCACTTCAGGCATAATTATTCATCGCCGTCAGCCACTTAATAAAGAAATTCCATGCCCCCAAGGAGTTGTAACTTTCCTGAGTTCAGCCATAAGTTCAGCGCTGATAACTGAGTAGTCGGCGCCGTTGTCGACTAGAGCAGTTACTGGATGGGCACAACATTTCTAACGTATGTGTAGCGGATACCACGCTTCTTCAAAGAATGGTGAAGGATAGCATAGTGAACGCTGGCCTTCCACACAACAATTGTGATTATTCATGACGTAGTGGTTACCCAGGCGTGCGCTTGTAGCAGTTACTCAAAGAGTGTTTAGAAAATGCTCTGAAAGGCCTGGCATTTTTTTTTCACGAGGACCACAGACGACCCCCAAGAACTCGAAGATGGCTCTATGATGTCTTTAGCGAGCATGTTGTGGACTTTCTTTTGTATAAAAGTGCGCTCGTTCATGCAG